GGGCAATGCACTCTGAATTTTCTAGTTGTTTTTTTTTTTTTTTTTTTTTTTTGAGACTAAAAAGGAGGGAGCCAGAGAAGGAGAGCAAGCAAGAGAAGGTGGTAATGACAGAGAGATACTGCTGAAAGAGTCCAGCTACCGAAATCTCTGCTCCAGCCACCCAGGTAGCTAGGATTACAGTTGTGTGCTAACTCGCCCAGTGTGGTCCAGGATCCAAACTCAGGCCTCCCTTTTGGCCCCAGCCCCATGATGCAATGTCCTACCCCTTGTACCACTATGGCTGGACCACATTTGTGTTTTTTGAACTAGTTAAAAGAATCCTTGTGTTTATTTTCTTCATATAGCACAAATGCAGGTGATACACCAAGTCTATAATTCTCCACAAAACTTGTAAACTTAACAACAAAAAATCTAAAGCATTATTCTGTATCATTTACGGCTAAACACTCCATGGAATCCATTCCACAGCAGCAGAGAATCTTAACTTGAAAGCATCCAAGTTTCCAGGCATTACTACAATGATCTTTTTTTTCATTCTCTAACACATGCAGTAAGACTGACTATGAAGCAAATACCAATTTACTTTAGGACATATTTGTTTTTGTTTTAAAGTTGGCTGTACCACAGAAAACTAATTTTACAAAAAGCAAATACTGAAGACTACAATACCTCCGAAGACCCTTCCAAAACTCATTTTCAAATTAGCTTTCAATGGAAGTGATTATCAATCAGTTTCACCTCAGCTGCTCAATCCCTATTCACAGCCTTCTGTGGAGTTTTTGGGACTCTAGTATTTTAATATTTGAGTGATTATGATCATTATAACTGAGCCACATCACTTTTCAAATACTAATGACATTTCCTTGAGTTTTAAAAATTATAGGCCCTTTGTTTCCACAGTGACTCAGAAAATATCTTTTATCTCCAAACAACTATAGAGCTCTTTTTATTTAAATAGTTCCTTTCCAGTGACATTCTGAGTACTTACATGTCAATGAAAGAGTGACTATAATTTAAAAAATTATTTTAAAATATTATAAATGAAAGATAAATTATAATAAACAGATAAATGCACTCGATATTCAACAAATGCTACTTGATTGTTCTATCCTTTGCTTAAGAGTCACATTTAAAAACCAACATTTACTTAATTGTTCTGAATCTGTTTTTTCAAATCCAATCTGAATCTAGCTTAGTTGGTATACATATCATATAATACAAATATCTTAACATAAGCAGAAAAAATATACAGTTTTCTCATCTATAAAATAGGGATAAAATGGTAACTACTGGACCAGCAGATGGCATGGTGGTTAAGGCGCTGGATCCCACATAGCTGACTCTATAGTTCAAGTCCCAGACCCAGCAGCTTGAAAAACACACCAGGTTTGTGCATGCATATGCCTAAAATCTCGAAAGAAGAATGGAGAAGTGGTAGCAGCAGGGCCATCCCCTCTAGGAGGTGATTTCTCATTTTCTCTGTTTCTCTCCAGTGAGCACTCATGCCTGGTAGCAAATACCTAAAAAATAAAAAAACTAATTCATGGATTTGTTTCATGAATTGTATAATCTCTCTGAACAGTGACTAGCAAAGAAGCATCCAATAAACCATAACCATGGTTCTTCTTTTCTGTTACGTAAAATTTAAACTAAAAATTCTTCATTCTATTCTGAAATTTAGCCTCAAAATGACTCGCAAAATGAGGGCTGGACTTCAACTTCTACTTTGCTCTCTAAAATACATACAAGGTTAGCTGAGCACAAATGAAGAACAAAAGAAGAAACAAAGATAATACTCAAGATCTGAATTTTCTAGCATCCATCTAAACAACTTTTGATAATCTGAGAGAAACAGTTCAATTTTACCAGGAGGAAAAAATTATTTATTTATCAATATCTTCATGAATCCCCAAAAGGATCCAAGATGGAATTACTCACTATTTTATGGCATCAAAGATCTAACAAATTACATACATTAAAAAAAAAAAACCCTAATTCATTTCACTTAATTTTCAGCATCCTACTGAGACAGAGAAGTAGAACATGTATTTAAATACATCTCACTGAATTGAAATAATCAGTAAACACCAGTTTTATTCCATAGTGGTCTGAAAATTCATTAGGCTCAGGATGTTGGTCTTTCTGGATTAGTCTTTATCTACTAATCAAAACTATAGGTAGTAAAAATATTTAAATACAACATTAATTTTTGAAAGATAACCACTTGTTATAAGTTGTATGTTCATTATACATATCATGGCATAAACATGAGAGATCCTGAATTCCTACCTAGTAAAACAAGGCTGCTTTGTGGCAATTCAGTTACATCATTGCTCATGATATCACAGTGGAAATGGGAATGCTATCATTTAAAATTTTAGCCTTTTCACTAAAATTAAGGCTAAGAGATATGTCATTGTTGGCTTTGTACCCTGTAAGATTATCGTCAACTGATGGTTCTGTATTGCCCTTAAAAGCAGACTTTATGGCAATGCAGACTTCCCACCCAGTACACTATGTCTCTCCAACAATTTCCTAGAAGTATTATACATGTGCACAAGAACTCTAACAAAGGGAAATTTTCTCAATGAAAAAAATCTTGTTCTACTCCACAATTTATAGATAAATCAGATACCTTTTTATCTTTGGCAATAGTAAATCATATTTCTTACCTTATTCTTTGACTATCTTTATCTACTTTCTTATACATATTCCCCCTACAATTCGTTTTCATTCACTGTTCATTCTACTTCACAATACTTGTTCATTTTTTTTTTTGAGAGAGAGATTTTTGCTATAGGGCATGGGCATTCGCCAGAGAGACAGAAAAGAATTCACACACACACACACCCCTCCCGGAGGATGGCCCCCTGCAATCCATTCTCCTCCATTCTCTTTTTTTTTTTTTTGAGATTTTTGCTATAGGGCATGGGCATTCGCCAGAGAGACAGAAAAGAATTCACACACACACACACCACCCCTCCCGGAAGATGGCCCCCTGCAATCCATTCTCCTCCATTCTCTTTTTTTTTTTTTTTTTTGAGTTTGCTATAGGGCGTGTGCACTCGCCAGAAAGACAGAGAGAAACAGAGAGACAGAAAGCGAGAAATCACCACCCAGGGAGGATGGCAACGACGCAATCCCTTCCCCTCCATTCTCCTCTTGGGATCTTGGGCACGCATGCACACTTGCCTGACGTGAGTCTAACCCATGGGGTCCTGGACTCAAACCACGGTTGACTACATTGGAGTTCAGCAACACAGCTATTACACTAACTGCTGGTCCCTCTTCTCCTCCATTCTCTTCTCCGGATTTTAGGTGCACACTACATGCACCCGACGTGAGATTTAAGCCGCCGGGTCTGGGACTCAAACCACAGTCAACAACATGGGAGTCCAACAACATACCATTATACCATCTGCTGGTCCCATACTTTTTAAACATTTTTCATAAAAGTTTTAAAGCTCCATTTTTAATACTGCTACAAAGGACTAATTTTACTATATTTTTGCACATGTGCATGTGTGTATACACTTTTTCTACACCTCTGAAGCTATTTATTTGCATTGCAGCATGGCCTTCAAAATACAAAGACTGCTTAGGTTTTGAGTCAGACAGACTTTTTTTTTTTTTAAATCCTCCATATTAAAACCATGGTACCTTGAAAAGTCAACCAAAATGATTATATCCACAAAAAGTATTGGGCTTCAGATGGGTGAATTACAAAGAGGTAATCTTGCCTTGTCATCTCTCCCTCTTGCTCTATAATCCTTGTCCCTACTTGTAGAAGGTTTTTCATTCTTTGATATAGGATGTGCTCGGCCTACAGGTCCCCGGGCTCCTACTCCTGCCATTTCTTTTCTCAGAGGTCTTACTTCTCGATTGGGACGCCTGATTTGAGGTGGAGCTCTGACAAAAAAAAATAAATAAATAAAATGAAATAAAAATTAATCACAGGCAAAAGTATTTCAATACTACCTTAGTCAATACAACTATTAAATAAATGTCCAAAATCCTAATTTTTCACTTTTTGCCAATTTATGGCCACAACTATTAGGGTAGTTTTTAAAAACTGTTTTCTCTAAAATACTATACAATTATTAAATAAATATAACTGACACATGTAGCAGAAATTACTTTGTCAAATAACTGTTAATCACCAATAGAGCACAACACAGGCTGTTCCCATCTAATAATCTTAATAGTATAGTGGAAATTCAATAACTTTATTCATTATTATCCTAAACCAAAAATAAGTAACTTTTAAAAAGCATTAAAAGCTAAAAGGAAAAGAATTCAAAATATGTGTACTAATTTATTTTCTAAAACCAAGATAACTTTCTCTGCTTCTGTTTTGAAAAAATTCAACATTTCATTCATCAAATTACAAATGTCAGGTTTAACAATGAAATCTTATAAATGAAGTTATTTACATGTGTAAAAATATCATTTATGTTTTGAGAGTGTCAAAAATCACAGGATCATTCATAATATATAAGCCTCCAAATACATTTAAGAATTTTGATAAATATGTAATTATTCACTAAGATGTATATTTTGATTCCTGTAACGTGAAAAAGGTCTCCTTCAAGAAGTGAAGTTTTTATATCATATGACAACATTTCAGTAAACAATGGACTACATACATGATGGTGGTCCCATAAGGTTATAATAAGCTACACTATATATCTTAGGTGTGGCATAGGCTATAGTATCTAGGTTTGTGTAATACTCTCTATAATGTTCTCACAATGATGAAATCCCTTAACACGTTCTTAAAATGTACCCCTGACACTAAGTGATACATGACTGTATTTTTATTTTTTATTTGGATCCTGAGTGACTATCACTTTGTTTCTAGTATTAGTTCTTCTTTCTTCAACTATCTCTGTTTCCCTGTCTTTCCTCTTTCTACTGCTACACCCGTATATATAGTCTTTCACATTCAATATATATATTCCTTTTATCATCTTATGCCATATCTATTATTAACCCTTATTCCAGGTTCAGGCTATTAATTCATAAGAACTCATCGTGGAGTTCTGTTTCTAATATTGGAAATGTGACATACATACATAACTCAAATGACTCCAGACAGATAGAAAAGCAGATGAAAAGTCATGAAGACTTGCAAACTCTAGGTGAAAAAGTATTAACATGTTGCAAGCCTAATATAGCATAATCAGATTATTGTAATTAAGACTATTAAATAAAACTGCTGAGAACAAGAAAGACTGCTGAAGACTGTATTAGGTTACCATACATTGCTACCTTTTTGAAAAATTTTTCCACACATGAATACGTTGTATATTAGTCCAAAGCTATTGCCATATACACCAACAGATAACTTTCCATTTTTATTTAATGTTTTGTTTTTACCCCCTCCTTCTCATTGCTCATCCCCTCTCACACTGTCTCTAGTATCTACAGTCACTCTCCATGCTTTTATACTTTCCAATCTTTTAGTTTCTGCCAAAGAGTACAGACATTTAGACATGTATTAAGACATATATTAAGACATATATTTAGACATATATTAAGTGGGGACATACAATGCCTCTCGTTCATAGTCTAGCTTGCTTCACTCAGTGCAACATCTTTCATATTCATCCACTTTGTACCAAATTTCAGGGCCCTTTTTTGGATTTTATGGCTGAGTAGTATTCCATAGTGTGTATGTACCACATTTTTCCAATCCATTCATCTGCTCTTGGACATTTGGGTTAATTTCATGATTTAGCAATTTTGGATAATGCTCAAATAAATATGGATGTGCAAGTGTTTTTGTGACTGAGGGTTTTCCTAACCTTTGGGTAGATACCCAGGAGTGGAACTACTTGATGGTATTGTATCTCTATCTGCAGGTTTTTGAGGAACCTCCATATTGTCCTTCACAGTGGCTATGCTAATTTATATTCCCCAACCCTCGCCAACAGGCCAACAGTTAAAGAGAGTTTCCTTTTCACCACAGCTTCCACAGCACTTATCATTCTTTGTTTAATCTTGGCCATTCGGATGGAGGTTAAGTGTACCTCCTTGTAGTTTTGATTTGCATTTTCCTTATGATAAGAGATATTGAGCGTTCTTTTATATGCTTTTTGATCATTCATGTGTCTTCCCTGGAGTGTTGTTCATTCAGCTCACTTGCCCACTTTTTAATTGTTTATTTTTTTGTGGGCAAGTTGTTTCAGTTCACTTATATCCTGGTGATCAGTCCCTTATCTGAGGCAGTATATCAATATATTCTCCCACTCTGAGGTTTGTTTTTTCACTCTAATTTCTGTTTCATTTGTTGCATGCACTGATACCCTAATCCTTAAGACTTCAGTCCAGTTAAACAATTATTTACTGAATATCCACTAGATACTATATAGCCTCTACTGTGCTGGCCCTAGGAGGAAATAAAGAAAATAAGCAATATTATGAAGAAAAGTCACAGCAAAAGAACTAGAAAACAGTATATAATAAGTAGCTCTAAGGTATTTTGAAGTTTAAGGTACATTATTCTAGAGCATTATTAGTATTTTAAGCATTCTATCAAACAAAAAATGCCATGAGGCTGATAAATAATAAGATATGCTATGTAAATAAGGGGGAAAATGGCAAATTGCTTCCTTTCTAGTATTTCAATTTAACCACTTTTTTTTTTTAACTTTTTTGTTATTTGATGAAGGTACATAGTAATAGAGAGGATAGCCAATAGAGAGGTGATTAAGGCAGCTAGATCCCACATGGCTGACTGTGTAGTTTAAGTCCCAGACCTGGCAGCTAGAAAAACATACCAGGCACGTGTGTGAGTACATGGCCAAAATTCCAAGAGGAGAACAGAGAAGGGACTGTGGTGTGGCCATCCCCCTGTAAGGTGCTTTCTCACTCCTCTGCCCCATCCCACCCCATCTCTCTCTAGTGAGCACACACGCCCTACAGCAAACTAAAAAAATAAAAATACAATTTTTTAAAAATTACATTAAAAAAAAAGTATCAGAATTTTACTTTTGTTTGTATATACTTGTGTATGTATAAACATCATTCCCGAATCACGTTCATGGATAGGGCCAAAGACACATAAAACCCACAATCTTTCCATATAGAACACCCATGTCTGTCCATTCCTTAACAGCTATACCTGCTATTTAAATAGTCTGTCATTGTTTTAGACTCAGCAGCCAGCCTCAAGCCTTTATTCACAACAGCAAGCCCATCTCTTACAACTGCATGCCAAGCTGTTTGTCAGTTGCTGGGCTTGCTGAGTTAGACCTCACTGCTCAAGGGTGAATTGCATTGAACCTTGAAATATTTCTTCTGTCTTCTCAGCTTATGCTTTCTCCACCTCAGCTTGCTACTTAGGAGTCCTGCTATAGTCTATTTCGCACACACATCCAGCTCAGTAAAGCTTTGTTGTAGATTTGTCTCAAAGTTTGCACATAGGCCACATTCTAAGTGTTTGCTGCTGCTGACCTTGTCCTGCCACTCAATATTTCTGATAGCCTTATAAACAGTCTGAATGAAACTGCTCAAGAAGTCAGATGAGCCACTTGTGGCAAGTCCCATGTCTCACAGGATGCGTGCCTGGGCTTTGTACGTCTTCAGTTCCATCTCACTGCAGTTTGATACTATGTTCTAAGAGATTCTGTCAACTTCCCAAAAGATCTCGTTGATTCTGTTCTGTACTTCATCATTAGCACGTCACTGCACAATATCATGCTTCCATGTAAGGACTCAGTGACAGCTTTCAGGCTGTGCAAACAATAAAGATCTCAAAGCTTTTTTTTACTTCTTTCTCTTTTTAAAAAGCCTTCAGTGAGGTAACAGCATCATTGACCTCTGCTCTAAAGATTGACAGTGTTCTTCATTATAGCATTTCAAATAGAGAATAACTGATAATATCTATGGGCATAAGAATGTCTACACTGTGTCCAATTCTCCTATTTGATATTTACCTATAGTAATGGAAAGAAAAATGCCTTATTCTATCACATGGCAAAAAGTCTCATTTCCTCCTAAATCAAATACTTCACTTTCTAAGCGATATTAAATGCCAATATTACGTATCAATGTTCTTTTCACACTGCTTGAAATAGAAACCTAGAAACAATCCAAATCTCCATTATCAGAATAGATACATAAGATATTACATATGCACATAATGGAACACAATACACAAGGGAACATAAACTATAGCTATATTAAATAACAATAGATGAATCTGAAGACCATAATGTTGAATGAAAAAGTTCAAAGCATGTAGAGTGATTCCAAGTAAAATCAGATACTGTTTATCGATACAAACAAATGTAGTTAAAGTATAAAAAAAGGGAAAGATACACCCCAAATTTAGATTAGCAATTAGCTCTAAAAGGTGAAGAAAAAGAATAGGATGTGAAAAAAAACACATGGGGATTTCAAAGACAATAGTAAAGTTATCTAAAACTCAGTGGTAGGTACACAGATGCTACTGTATTGTAATTATTTGTATCATACATAGATTTTTAATTATTGATTCCATCTTTTTCTTTCTTTTTTTAAAAAAAGATTTTTGCTATAGGGCATTGTGTGCTTGCTGGAAAAAGAGAGAAACAGAAAGCAAGAAGTCACCTTCCAGGGAGAATAGCTACACTGCAATCTCTTCTCCATTCTTCTCTTGGGATCTTGGGCACATAGGCACATACGCCTGGCATGAGTTTCAAGCCACCGGGTCTGGGTCTTGAACCATGAGCCATGAGGGAGTCCAGCACCTTAACCACTATGCCACCTGCTGGCTCCTCATTCTTTCTACTTAATAATTGATAAAATTTTAAATATGAACTAAACTACAAAACTAGTTAAGCTTTCTAAGCATCTGAAAAATGAAATGACAGGGTTGCAAAAAGTTTTTGCTATGTCCTATTGATGGGGGCTCAGCATACACA